CTAACATATGTAATAACAGTTGCTGGAACTGCAGTGAGGATAATGGATTCTTATTGCCTTTCCCATACTATGGCATTGTGCTATGGTTTGGTTTTGGCAGAAGATGATGCAGAGATTAAATATCACTCTGAATGCTGCCTGAAGTTGCAGGCATCAAATTGTTATGACTGGTTCTTTTAATACTGTTCCAAATACTAGAAGAAGTGCCAGATGCATTTACATTAAAACTAAACATGGTTTGGAAAAATAGTAGAAAATTAAGAGGTGAATCTCTCTCTAACAGAAGTGAACTGCAAATTTTCCTTTTACTTCAACATTGCAGTCACAAACCTGTAAAGATAATATGCATTCATTTGAGAATGGGACACCCTAATAAAATGAGATATTTGGCAATTATTATGTAACATATTATCCAATATCTCCAAGGAGATTTGCTCTGTGAAAATATATGGACTATTTCTCTCTGAATTAGTAAATCTTACACTTGTCTATTCACCTCTTTTTTTTCACCTTTTCTCCCTTTCTCTTTAGAGACAATAACAATTTCAACTCACATAAGCATGGTTCCCTTGAGAATGGTTCTAAAATGCTTTTGGAGTTATTCTACCACTTGAATAACCCTATTCTAGGTCAGCACAATTTGGCCTGTATTTTTAATTTGTTTTCTTTTTCAGTTTTTATATAATGTTTGAAAATGGAAAAAAAATCGTCTGCTCTACTGAAGTAGTAGACAGACAGGGTTTGATTATTGAATACCATGAGTGATGTAGATTTCCCTCCTTGGACAATAGTATTTGTTTGTACTGGCTGATCCTCACACTCTACAGGTAACTCAGTTCGACAGCACACAGTAATGTAACATTATGACTAATCCAGCTTGTAAGCAGTTTTATTGTGGTCTCTCCAGTATAGGAGGTTTTGGCTTTTTTTATGCATTGTTATACACAATTTTTAGATGATATAGTCATACAAAGAGAAGATCAGTTGAAGGAAGAGGTTTTTTCTGAATTTCCTAGTCTTTCAGCATCAGCACCTTCAGTTTGCATTATGATGACTGTATAAAAGCCAATTTCTCACTTTTTTCCCCTCAGAGAGGCACTCAGAAGATTACATATCTTACTATGAATCAGGCACTGTCTAGATCAAAGATCCCCTGTTTTTTTTAAGTTTTAGGACATTTCTCCATCTAATTATGTTGGAGCTGATTTTTTTTCTTCTCATCTGGTGCCAATAACAAAGGGCAGAGACAGTAAGCGAAATCAATATTGTTCTCTGTTACAGAATTGCAGGTTGCACAATGCTATACAGCGGATCAAACAAAATTCTGAAAGAAGGTCTGCAGCGGTCCTCCATATCTCAAACACCTTGATGGGAAAGTTTACCTGCAAGTTGCATGGCCCTTACCCGATAGTCCTTACTATTTAGAGATGCTAATTGGATGCTGGTATGTGTAAACCAATGCAAAACAAGCTGAGCACAGGATGTGAACTATAAATGGAAGTTTTCTGAAGGAAAGGACGCAGGCTATGAGAAAATGTTACTGTCAGGGTGTGGGTGGCCCTTGTGCTGTTTCAACGTGGGGGCTCGCCTTGCCAGCAATGACAGGGAGTTGGTGAGCATGGTCCTGCTCTCTTCTACCCTGGCTGAGGGTGACTATGGCAAGCAGTTCTCTTCAGTGAAAGACGTACAGGGCATAATTCTTGGTCTGATGGCTATATTGTGCTTCAGTGAATCAGAGTTTCTTCCCAGGGTGATACTAGGGGTGACTCTGTCCAGTCATAGTCTACTCCAGTTGGAAGATTATCGTATCATCAAGGTCTTTACAGGTACACATAGGTCAGAACAAACTGGAGGAGACAAAGATGATGGTGGAAGTATGATGCTGAAATACAGAACAACAGTGCAGTGGAACTGTATTTTTATTCTATGTAGACCAATATCATGGTTAACCTGTGTAAATATTTCAGTATTTACTCATGTGGTAAAAGACTTTTATAATGGTAAGTAAATATATAGTATGATAGATTTAGCATGCAGGAAAGTTCATGGTGAGCTCTGTAAGAATATGAAGGTTAAGCAATATCGATATACACGCAAGTAGCAGAAAGGGGGTTCAGATTTTTTTAAAGTTAAAATGTGCATGCAGGCATGCTGTTCCAATTAGCATGACAGTATACATGTAATAATCTATTTGAAATTACTCTTTTCAAGAATGTTGACATACTCAGATTTCTTAGTCTATAGCTCAATGCTTAAGAAAATACCCACTTTTCTTCCAGTGTACTTCACAGAACCAGGCCTTCAACACCATCATACACCCAATTTAAAAAAAAGCAAGCCGTATCTTCTGTATCATGTACTGTCTGTTTCTATAGTGCTGCTTCTGTGAATGGTATGCAGAGGCATTTCAGCTTCTGTTGAAATGTAATTAACAGGTGGATTTTAGAGGAATTTCCTGGAAGTTCTACAAGGCTTATAAATAATATCTCCCAATTTTTTCAGGTAATAAAACTGAAACCTAAATTGCAAATAATTCACTCAAAGCTGCAGACCAAGTCAGTGCCCAAAGTAAAATTAAAATCTAGGATTTCTTGATCTCCTTCCTACTACTGTGAACACTAAACAGTGCATTGTGTGAATTATCTATCTTGAGTATATACGTGCATTGTATAATACATGTTGCACTAGTCTGTTGTTTCTGCATCTGTATTTTTGCAGATGCATTGACACCACATAGGATATGGGGGGAAAAGTGGTTTTGAGTGTTAAATTACTAAAAGATTTTTGAGCCTATACTTCTTTGTGTGTTATCAGACAAGAAGGGAAACAAGGTTCTGCTTGTAACAGAGGTGATGTAGAGCAAAAACTTGGAAAGCTGGAGATAAAGTTGTGCAAGGAGAAGGGAGATGCTTTCCGTTCCCTCCCACATTTTCTGTTTATATCTTTTCCTATCGCATTAGCTTTCTCATTCCTGCTTCCCCCTTTGCATATGTGGCAGCAGGAGGAAATTTGCTAGGTTCCCGGTGTAAGATTCTCCACTGGTAGTCAGTGTTGCTGGCTTCCATGGAGCTTCAGTGGCTTCCCAGAGCTGGTGGTCTCGTGCTCGGTCATCAAAGTTCTCAAGCACAGCACTTTGAGGACTGCAAGCCAAAGTCTTCCATCGTCCTAGCAGATTGCTAGAGATTTTGCATAGAATGTGCATTTTGGTTACGTCAGCATAACTGAAAACAGTAGTTAGATCTGGGATTTTGCTTTGGCTAGTATTCACAAAGACAAGCTGTGGGACGTAAAATAAAGTCAGTAACAGGAACCTGACAGACTTGTGTTATGTACCAAGAAACCCTAAATAACAAGTTCATATGACTTTACCCTGTAGAATGTGTAACGTGTATTACTTCCTTCCATGACTCATACAGTTGCACGTAGCTAGAAACCTTGTAACCCTGTTTTTGCTTTGTAAACCATTAGACTTAATACCTCTCAGCCTCATCTTGCTGAAATACTAAAATCAAAACCCACACCCTCACAGTCCCTGCTGACCCTCATTCCAGCCTGGACGAATTCCTCTCTGCAGTAGTTACTGGCACGAGCCCACTCAACTGTAAAAGAAAAAGCTTTATGACAGAGCACTGATGGTAGGATCGTGACTGCAGAACAATCCTTCTTCCTTTATTTTGAAGTTACATTTATAGGGAATAACACATGGTAAATTAAGCCATTCAGGGATCTACAAATACAGAGCGGAAAAAGCTGGGTAACGTATAGCATAGTAACATTCTGGTCTGTAAGGAATCTATCTAGACAGTATGGTAATTCAAATAATAACAAAAAGTTTTAATGATTAAAGCAATCAGAATCTAATACCACATCTGGGTGGGTGCAGGGGGCAGAGATGAGCATTCTACAGTTATTCCCAAATGACACAGAACCTGAATTACAAGATCACATCACAGCTCTGATAATGAGTAAACTTGAAAGCACTTGTCCTCAATCTCTTCCATGCTGTGTTGCAAAGAAAAACTATCAGAATATCTTGGAAGGCATGGAAGTTAAAGGCATGTTAGAGTTTTATGAGCTTACTTTCACAGGTTCTAAAACAAGAAGAAAAGAGTAATTCAGCAATGTTTTCCTTCATAAATTTTATGAGTATTAGCAGAGTTTTTTAAAAAAATTACAATAGTGCATTGTATAGGTGCTTAGAAGAAAACAGCAGAGGCAAAGAAATTTGATGTCAAGAATGCTTCCAAATTCACTAAATATAATGCAAGACAAAACGTGTTCTTAATTGTGCTGGTATCTATCTGGAACAACTACACTATCAAGTGGAAGTAATACAGAAATTGTGTACAGTCTGACTGTAAAAATTGACTTCTGGTAACACAAAGGACCTGAGAAGTACCCAGTGGATATCCATGAAAATTGGATTTGTTTATCAGTTGCTTCAATTTCCTACGTTTACATTTTCCACCACAATTTTTTTAACCATATGCCAACTACCCACCGAAGATTTGATTATTCACCTGCAAAAAGGCCCAAGAAAGGAGATGTCATAAAAATGTCATGGCTGGGTGTTTTTTTTTTTTTTTTTTTTTTTTATTTTTAAAACCACACACGAATAA